GGTCGGCGTGCCGGGGAAAACGGCCCCCCGGGGCGTCCCGCCCGGCGGATCCCGCCGCGGTGGGGCCGTCGTGGAGGTCAAAGAAAAGCGGCGCGCTGCGGTAGTCGATGGGGATGTGCAACGGCGGCCGCCGCTCCAAAGCGTCCCCCGGGCTCGAATCGACGCCGTCCCAGTGAGCCATTTCGAGGTTCTGTGTGCTATCGATTGGTCTAATGTACGTGTAGTGTCTCGATCTAAAACTATGAATAGGAAAAGGATTCACAATCGACAGCGGTGGGGTGCAGAAGGCTGCTTATTTTTATTCCTTATTAGGGGTTTATCGGGTGTAATGTTCCTCGGAAGAAGACACGCGATAGAGCCGCAGAAGATGCCACTGGTTCAATAAATGTTTAAATATTCATAGATCATTCTATTCAAAATAACACACCTATCATCCCTTCGGGTAGGGTGTCTTTTCCATCTCTCTCTTCCCCCCCCCCTTCCTTCTCAAAATAATAAAAAAAAGATATCAATCCTCCATTTACTCCCCGCTTCACAATTAATGCACAAAATTCTATCACAATGATACCATCGTAATCCGACCTCAATTATCCAGGTGGATTTCTTAGTCCGACGCAAAATACAAAATAGCCGCATACTCCACTCTCTCCACCGCAAACCCGTGAAGAAGCGCCAATGACGGCGTCGCCGGATGGGAAGTCAGGCACCCGAAGTCGCGCCGCCAAAAGCAAATAAACACCACCACAACCGATAAACGAGGTGTACACGACGGCATGGGTCCTGTTTAGTAAGCAAATTACACCGAAATAAAACCCTTCGCGCAGGCGTTGGACAATTGTGAAATAAAACATAAAAATCTCATTAATTGCCACCAAGGGGGAAACCAATAATAATAATAATAAAAAGAAGCCGTGATGGAAAGTCTAGTTTGCTATTATAAATCAAGATGACCTTAAAGAGAAAGGGTTCGAACCGGATGGATGTTGAGCACAGGGAACGTGCGCTTTCGGACCGATCCCAAGACGTGGTGGGCTAAAAGGGTCGCCTACTCCCGACCCTTGAAGGAGTTGCCCGAATAACCAGACAGCGGCCGACTAATGCAAGAGCGCAGGGCCGTGGTCATGTGGTCAATCGTCTCCGTCAGCTCGCTGTTTTTGTCAATAATATCCTCCATGCGCTCGTTGACGCGCTTGAGATCGCGCTCCCACTTCATCGTCAGGTTGCGGACGAGCTCCAGGGTCATCTCGGCGTCCTGCCGGACCGCGGCCTCGACGGCCGCGCACTTCCGCCGCACCGAGCGCCGCGTCCAGGCGATCCAATACC